GTTCACTCCAGTTCTCTCTCCCCTCTGGGCAGAGGCTCCCTTGTCATTCCAGTCCTCCAAGCTGAGGCTGTGCTGCCCGCCTGTGCCTTTCAGAGCTTAGCTTGGGCCTGCATATATGGTTGCTCAGACCTTTGACCTCTGCCTACCCGACAACCGGACTCCTATGCACTCACTCTTGTGCCGGGGCACTGGTGGATCCTGGCCTCCCTGTGTTAAGAACAGGGCACCTTCACAGAACAGGGCCTAACAACATGGCTCCCTCTTGGGCCCTCCTTCCCACCGGCTTTCATCCCAGCAGTTCCCCGGCATCCAAGAGGCCAGAGGAGTCCAGGGCTCACCCAAATTTTTCAAAATGTATTCTTTTTGTATTGTGGTAAAATAACCTGAAATAAAATTGGCCATGTTTTTTCAGGGTGTGGATCAATGGTATTTAGCACATTGATAACCATCTGTGACAGCACACACACCGGTGGCCCCAGCACTCCGGGAGGCTGAAGCAGAGATGGTTCCAGCCCCGCCTGGGCAACTTAGTGACTTAACAGAATGAAAAATGAAACGAAGGCTGTAGCTCAGTCCAAAGGCTCTAAGTTCAATCCCCAGCGCCCCGAGAAGAAAAAGCAGAAAAGTACATTCATCATGTGCACCCATCACCGCCGCTCCCTGCAGCTCTTCAGATCCGGTAAAACGGAATCTGTCCCCCACCAGTAACTGTGCATCCCCCCTGCCCCGCCCCTGCTGCCCGCTGACTTTCTGTCTCTGTGAATCTCTGACTAATGATTTCATATTTGTCTTTTCATGACTGGCGCGCTTCCTGTCACATAACGCCCTGAAGGCTCCTCAGCACGGCATGTGTGGGAATTCCCTTCCCTTTTAAGGCGCACTATATATGCACTATACAGTGATCATCCACTGAGAGACACTCCCAGCTCCTTCCATGTGTTCACTTTTGTGAATAATCTTGCTGTGATTGAGTGTACAAAAATCTCCTCGAGACCTTACTTCAATTCTTTTGGATGCATATACTTATGCACCCCAGAGCAGAACTGCTGCGTCATGTAGTAATTCTATTTTTAACTTTCTGAGGAACTGCCAAATTGTTTGCCCCAGCTGTACCTTTCTCCATACTCAATTTCTCTGTATCCTCCAAATTCTCTATGTCCTCACCGGCAATTTGTTCTTTTCTTTTCTTTTTTTTTTTTTTTCCTTCATTTCAGTCATAGCCACTAGGTTGTATTTCATCATAGCTTTGATTTGCATTTTCTAATGATTAGCGGCAGTGAGCGTCTTCTCGTGTGTTTATTGGTTATTTGTGTATCTTCTTCATTAAAATGTCCATTCGAGCCCTTTCCCATGTCTGAATGAGGCTGTTTTGTTGTTGAGTTTTAACAGTTTCTGTATTCGGGTTATCAGTCCCTTATCAAATATCTGACTTGCAAATGCCTTCTCCCGGTGTGTGGATTATTTTTTTTTACTGTGTTGATTGTTTCTTTGAGACCCAAAATTTTTAAATTTTCATGAAGTCTAATTTGCCTATTTCTCCTTTTGTTGTCTGTGCCTTTGCACTTATATCCAAGATATCACTGCTGAAACCAATGTCATGAAGCTCTCAGGAAGCCCATGCGTTTCACAGATGAGGAAACTGAGGCTTAGAGCCCTGGGCCACACGCAGAGCTGCCTAGGCCCTGGCCAGTGATCAGCTCCCTGGGAACCGGCCACAGGCCATACATAGCCCTCTCTACTGAATGACTCAGCCTGCGACTCCCCCATCAACCAACCCACACCCCCCTCATCTGCCTGACACCTGCCGGTGCCCTGCTGAGTCCGGGGCTTTGTGGGAAAGGGGTCCAAAGGGCAGAGCACAGAAGAGAAGACAGTGATCACGCACAGCATGGGCCGTCTGCACCAGCAGACCCCTCACCCCTCACAGCCTCATTGCATGAAGTCAGGAGCTGCAACTTCTGGGCAAGAGTAAGATCCCAGCGTCTGCTGCCTTGCAAACGGGATCATTAGTGAAGCCCTGTCTCTTCTTTTTTTTTTTTTTTTTGGTTTTCCGGTTTTTCTCCGGTACCAGGAACCGAACTCACGACCTTGCGCATTGCCAGGCAGGCGCTTTGCCGCTGAGCTGAATCCCCAGCCCCCGCCCTGTCTCTTCTAGTAACTGCCAACATCAAGAAAGCATACCTCTGAGATGGCCCTGGGGGGTGCTCGTACACACCAGCCCCCTTCTGTGCCTGGCTGGCTGCAGCTCTACTTGGAAGCTGGGGTCCCCCACCATACTCCAAGAGAGGGGTGAGGGTCTCAGGGGTCACGCAGGTGGCACCTAGTAAGTACGGTCAGATGAGAAACCCGGCTTTAGCCCATCACTACGGTACACTCAGTACCCTCAGGGCTCCCATAGAAACTCCTCTGACTCGGGAGGAGGATATGAGTGCTCTGACACGGAAGGGAGGCCTAGGGAGGAAGCCAGCGGCACATCCCAGCTTATCTCTAAATCCATCTTGAGGGTGAGGAGGGAGCGTCCAGGGCAACAGAGAGACTCTTACACAGCCAAAACAACAGGTAGTTCCGGCTGGGGGCCATCTTTTGGTTCTAACTGAGGTAATGGTAAATGAAAAGTAGGCTTCTGAGCTTTTCCATCAGGGGAGGTGGGTATTTTCAGTTTTGTTCCCCTGATTGCAGGATGCTCCCTGGACTGATCCCAACGCCTTCAGGAGCACAGCAGGGACTCAGTGTGAAAATGATCCATGGGTTGGACGCGGAGGTCACCTTCCTTCAAGGACAGCTAGCTTTTCTTCTTCCCCTCTCCCACTCCACCCCCAACCTGTGTGGCGTCGTTTCCAGCCCCTGCACAGGGGACGAGAAACCCTGCGCTCTTGGGGGTGGGGCCTGCCTAGGTTTCGGGGACCAGGCTGACTGCAAAGGAGCTGATGTTCCCCAGGCTCGGAGCCCAGTGTGGGGGCAGGGGCGTGGGTGTGGGCGTGGAGCCGGCGAGCCGAGGGCTTGCCTTCCTAGAGCTGGAGAGCTCGCATGATGACAGTAGTGTACATGTGCGTGGGGCTGGTACTTTTCCAAGGGCTTTTAAATGCATTATCTTGTTGGAGACTCATTTGAGGCAAGGACTCGGAGCAGACTGGAAAACAACTAATTTACTGAGTCCTGAATGGAGAGGAAACAGAATGCAGTGTGTGTTTTTGCTGGATCTCAGACCAAAACAACCTTTTGTTAAAGAACAAACAAATAAACAAAAATGCAGAACACTAATTCACCAGGGAACACAGTCTGAACTGAAGCTCTGGGTAGAGAATCACAGCAGAAAATTCAACAAACATTAATGGGGGGCTGGGACCGTGGGGTCACAAGCCAGCTCCTGAGCAAGAGCTTTTGGGGGCAGGCCAGTGTGTCCCCCAGGCAAGGCGGGTCCCCCAGCACCCCTGGAACCTGGCTGGCAGGAAACGCTGGTGGGAGAGGCCAGGAGGGCCCTGGTATGGGACCCTGAGCCAGGCCTCAAGAAGAGGTGCTTCTGGGGACCCCTTAAGCCTCCTGCCGAGTGGAGCATGATGCTGGGACGGCCTGAGGGAACGGCTTCTTGGGGTAGGGGTGGGAGAGCAATTACTCTGCAGCAGCGAGGCAGGGTGGGCTTCTGTGAGACCATGGGGCCCACGAGCACTCCTCAGGGGAGATGTCATCCACTTCGAGCTGCTGCTTTGAAATAAGTCGATCTCCATTTTGATGGCACAGAAAGAAGAGACACCAGCGGGGCTCTGTGCCCCCAAGGGAGGGCCAGGTCTCGGGCCCTGGGCCTGGATGGGAGAAGCGGGACGACCCACCCCGGGAGGGACCCTTGTGTGGCCCACACACATCCCCTGGGCTACAGACCGCAGGGTGAATGCACCCCCCCCCCACGCACACATCACGCATACATGCACATGTGGCTGCACCCGCTCATCAGCCCAGCTTGGCCTGCAGCCTGTCCTCTGCCAGCCCCCGACTTCCCGGAGTCTAGCTCACAGGAGGCCCCCAGAGAGGGATGGCCACCTCGGGGTGCAGGGTGGCGGCCCTGGGGCCCCGCACAACCTCCGGGACCCGATGCTGGGACAGCTAGGGCCGAGCAGCCCCCTCTCTGAGCCACATTCCGCACCACAGACGGGAAACCATGATCAAGTGGACCCGAGTGCCCACCTGCCCCAGGCAACCACCTTGCGACCCTGTGACCCCTGCAGCCCTGGTGACCAGGGCTCCGGCGAGACCAGGGCGAGAGCTATTGCATCCTTAAGCCCTTTGGCCCTGGGGAAAGCAAAGCCTTTGGCTCGCCCCTGCCGACACCCCGTCGCCAGGCCTTGAGCCTGCAGCTGGTCCCCAGCTGGGTCCCTGTCCCTGAGGCTGCCTTTGTGTCTGCACAAGGGAGACTCAGTTCCTCCCCTGCTCCTTGACCCTGCATCCTGTATCCACGCGGGCACAGCCCCCTGGCGGGGCAGCAGACGGTGCCAGCTGCCCCAGAGACAGCGAGGCCACCTCCACGACCTCTGCCTCCTCCGGTGTCTGCGAGGGAAGCTGGAGGGCTGTCTACTGCAAGCTATTAAGCCAGCGAGTGACCCGCCATGGCTCCTGGACCCTCCAGCCTCCAGCCGAGCCTCCCCTCTGCTCAGGAGCCCACTGGCCCCCGCTCATTTGGCTGCTGCCCACAATCGCTATGATTGTGCAGGGCAACCGCTTCTCAGAGCCGGAGGCCTTGGAGCCAGTTCTCGCCTTCTCAGGCCCAGCCGGCGCTGTGCACACAGCAGGCAGTAAATAAGTATTTGCTTGGGCCCAGACCCAGAATCACCTCCATTCCCAGGACTGGGAAGGGACCTGGGGTCCAGGAACAGCTGGGTGAAGTGGGGCGCTCATCCCTGCTGAAGCTGGGGAGAAGTAGGCGGCATCCCTGAGGGTTCACATGCTTGGGGGCTCCAGGCGGGGTTTTTAACACACAGGGGTGAGAGAAGATTGAGACCAGGCAAGAGTGTGGCATGACGGCATTTAATCCAACTTCAAGTGAATTCAAGGAGCCAGCACGGACTCCCCCGAGACAAGGTGGGGCCCCCCCAGCAAGCATGGTTCAGGTGGGAAGCTGTGGGCCCAGGCTGCACGAGAGGGCCCAGGGAGGGTACAGTGTTGAAGCCACCGGGGGACACCTGCGGGTCACTCACACAGAAACAAGCCCCCATGCCCCCCAGCGCCTGCTGTGGCCCCCGCCAGAGCCCAGCCTGCCTTCCAAGATGTACGAATGGACCGTTTCCATCACCACCAGTGACAAACCGAAAACAAGCCGGAACCCACCGGAAGGTCTAATCTTTCAACTGCTTAAAATTCATCAGTGCAAAGTGAGGTAAAGAGCCCTGTGTCACCAGGCTGAGGCCGACACTCGCCTCACACAAGCCTGCGTCTCTTGGAGTCCCTCCCCACATCGCCCTCCTCTACGTCAGGCTCACAGCCCAGGGGGGACACCAGGTTCAGCAAGGGGTCCTCGGAGGCTCGGCCGAACAGCGCCAGCAGAAGGGCCACGCCAAAGCCAGTGGCTCGCTCGCCCTGCAGACAGAGAGAGGACGCTGGGCTCACGGCGCCTCAGCCCAACCTGCAGCCAGCTGGGCCTCCGCATCCGCGGGACTTCCCGGGTGTCCCAACCCCCCTTCTTAGGAAGGGCACCCTAGAGCACAAGCCAGGCTCGCGTCCTTGCCCAGGGTCAGTGATGGGGTTGGACAGTGGACATGGCCCGTGTGCTCTGGCCCCTCTGGCTGAGCACAAGCTGGCTGCGATAGAGCACGGTTCTCAGGGACAAGCACCGGAGTTCAGAGGGGACCACAGCTGCCCAGAGGCTGGGCCATGGACAGCGGGAGCCACACATGGTTCAACCGGCAGCTCTGAGCCACAGGGGCTCTGCACGGGCAAGGGGAGGGCCAGGCCGGTGGGAAGGACGGACAGGGACTAACAGGAGGGGAGGCCACCCGTCAGGCTGGCGCCGGAGGCACTCACAGCATGCACCGGCGCGGCGATGTCCAGGTGGACCCAGACCCCGGGCCAGTCGAAGCCGATGTGCGAAGCAATGAAGAGGCCAGCACAGGAACTGGGGCTGTTGTCACGGTCCTGCAGAGGCCAGGACGTGGAGTGACCGCCAGCTCCCCGCCATGGGATGCGGCACGGGATGGTACCCAGATACCCGTGGCTCCCGCCTGCCCTGTCCACCCTCCCCGTGTCCCTCATCCAGGGCCTCTGCCTGGAGCCAGGTGAGTGCAGGGACCCAGAGCAGAGGAGGCTGCTCCACCCGGGATAAGGGGCAGCCAAAGGGCTTGATGGGGCGACTGAGCAGGCACGGGAGAGCAACCTTCAGCGCGCGGCAGGAATGCAGGGAGCGGACCCGCTACCCCCCAGACGACCTCCTCTCGGACACGTATCTGTCCCCAGTCTGCATCACGGGGCCACGGCCACACTGCCGCCCCGTTATCCATGCCTCCCGGATACAAAGCTTCAACCTACCGCCACGGAGTTCTTCATGTCAGCCACGGCCGAAGTGAACTCGCTGAAGTGCAGCTCGGGGCAGTAGACCAGGGGGTGCACCAGGTCCCCACACTTGCGGCCGGCCTTCACACAGGCCGCTTCCCACTCAGCGCTGTTCGTGAGCACTGCTGCGTGGTACTTCCCCGTGGCGATGCCCTGGGCGACAGGCAGCGCGAGGGAGGCATCCGGAATGGTGAGGGCAGAAGAGAAATGCAAGAGATGAAAAGGAGGGTAATCGCTGATGGAAAAATAATCTGACAGAGAGACAGCGAGAACCAAATTCCAGAAAGGAAGCAACGCCAAGAGAACCGGGAACAACTAGTACATTCTGAGTCCCAGCTTCCTGCAACCACAGCTCCTCTCAGCTCCTCTGTAGAGGTCACGAAAATTTCATTGACCCTCACCCACCACAGGGTCCAGGGAGTTCGGCTCCCCAGTTCAGCTCCAGCACCTACCTGAGCCCCAGTCAGCGTGGCCATGTCCAGGATGATGTCAGCTCCCAGGTCTTTACAGGCGTAAGATACACCATCGGCCAGCACCAGCCTGCCCTCCGCATCTGTGTTGTTGATTTCTACAGTCCTAGGGCACAGCAGAGACCCCAGTTCAGGGATGTAATCCCTGGGGCGCTGACAGAGATTTCCTTTGGAACTAGGACAACCTCACTTGGAGACCCCTATCCCAGTAGCTCCCTGACTCCCAGCACACATCTGTCCTCCAGGAGGCAATGCAGGCAGCTTGCAGGGTGGGAACGAAGCGGCCACAGATCAAACAACAGGGGCGGCACGGTTAGAGGCGAGGGGAGAGACGGGGCAGGCTTACTTTCCTGAGTACAGCAGGTGGATGTCATCTGGCCTGGTGGCGTTGGGCCCCACTGCATTCTCTGCCAAGCAGAACACGGCATGCAGGTTGTCTTTGAAGCCCTGGAGGGAGAAGCAGGCAGAGGTCCCAGGTACAGACTGGAGGCCCGGGAAGGGCGAAGTCGAGCTCTCAGCCCCTCCACACCATGCTGGGCACAGTTCTGGCAGTTCCTAGGGCCAAGGGTCCCTAGGGGCCGGGTCCAGGATCCCCCGTGGGAGCCTGTGCAGGCCGTGAATGTATCCGGAGTGGGGCAGAGCTGGAGCATTTGGATCCCGGGCTCTGCCATCGCCCACTGCTCAAGCCAGGCCAGCCCTGCAGGCTCCACAGCCCCTGCCTCCCTTCCGCAGGGCTTGGCCAGAGCCACGGTCCCCGTTTGCACACATACACAAACAAACACACACAGGGCAGCAAGAGCGTGGCCTTGCGGAAATGGAGTGAGGTTCTCCTTTCCTGGTGCCACAAGGAAAGATACACAGTGCTCAGTGTCTGGCCCACGCAAGGGCGTGGAGGGCTTGCAGAGGCCCAGTGCAGAGGAAGGACCCGGGCGGGCCTTCAAGAAGGGCACATGACACGGGGCCAGGACATGTGGCGGAGAGCAACGCCTCATCACCTGCTTGATGGCGGCTCTGAAGGCCCCCAGGATGGCCGCAGCACCCCCGCAGTCTCGCTTCATGCCTGGCATGGTGGTCTGCAGCAGTACAAAGGAACAGGAGAGATGGTGAGTCACACAAAGTCCCCGCCCCAACCTGCATGTCACACCAGGCCCTGCCTCCCGCAGAGCAGCCCCAGGCCTCGAAGCCGTCTCCTGAGGCCACCTGGACACCCACAGAGTGTGCGCGGCTCTGGCAGGTCCAAGGGGGTGCGCTCCAGAAGCTACAAGTAGAGGCCAAGGACGGGCAGGAGGGACGGTAAGATCCCTTTACTTCAGCAGCGCTTGGGGGCTCTTAAGCAGTCACCGTGGTGATGGTGGGGAGACCCACGATGCCCAAGGATGCCAACCTCACTGTGGCCAGGCTGTCACGTAGACACGAGCACCCTGACCTCCAAAATGCGGCTGCTGTGCCAGCCTGGGGCCTCGCTATCCGCTGCTCTCCCAAACTGTGAGGAAGAAGGTGAGGGGCAGGCAGCCTCTGAGGCTCTCTTGGGGTCACCTGGCCAGCACTTTGTAGACCTCAGCCAGGCTCCCGGGGCGGTCAGAGCTCCGGTCCCTGCTAGGATGTGCAACCCCACAGGTGATCGTTTGCCAACGAGCCAACTTGCCCAGCTCCGCGCTCAGCACAGGCTCCTGCCGCACTGTGGGGAACGAGTGTGGGGGAGGGGAGGCTCTGGCTCTCTGCCTGGGCTGCGCCCTCTTCGTGCAGCCCAGCAGTCCGGCTCCCCACAGCGCAGCCCCGCCAGAGTGTGCACTGCTGAGAGCCGAACGCCTCCCCCTCGGAATCTCCATCTCCAGCCACGGCCGGGGGTGCAGCTGTCCAGCATCGGGCCCACTGGTCCTCTGGAGCCAGAGCCCTGCGCCGCACGCCCACCGTGGCCTTCTGACTTTGCAGCCCTTGCCGCATGCGCTGGGTCTCACGCTGCCTCCTGCTTCCTCCACCCCTGCTCAAAGTCCCCTCTAATCTAGCTGTGTGCCCCACACGCCCCTCTCTGCTCTATGCCGCTCCACCTTCTCCACAGCGCCCGTCGCCGTCAACCCTCTAGCAGAAAGGGGGCGGCCTCTGCCCTCTGGCACTCAGGTCACGTGGCCCGGCTGAGGCGAGCCATGGCCGCCAGCAGCTGTCACACGCAGGGCCACCCTCCTGTCGCACATTTACACGGCGTCTTCTAAGAACGACTGGAAAGTGTTCCACATTTCTACATTTTATAGGTTTCCAACTGGAATCAACAAGTTCATATTCTAAATTAAAGACAGGTCATCAGATATAAGGGTTTGTGCTTGGAATGTACCCAGTGATTTTTGAACCCTTATTGTATTACATGAGCCTTGGATTTTAGTGGAAAGTATTTTTAGATATAAACTGAGCTGTTTTTACAATTAAGTTGAGTGAAAATGATCCATCTAGCACTATGGAAAATAAGCCGTCTTTCTGACCTAATCGGCAAGAAAGCACAAGGTGGTTTTAAATGGAACCTCAGGGCTGGGATCAAACCATTTCAAAATGGCCGGCATGGAAAATGCCTCCTGATGTCCATCATGGAACCCCATGTGTCCTTGTCACAAGTGCCACCTCCTAATCACAGAAGAAAAATGCCAAGCTAACAAATACAGCTCAACTGATTGCGTAAAGTTGTCATGGTTTCTATTTGTCTAAGAGAAATGATGTTCCTAGTGGCGCTAGGATGTCCTCGGCCTTGTTCATCAGGTTGAACAGTGGACAGTGCAGAAGCCGTGGTGGGTGGGAGCCATGGAGCCCAGCACATGCCCATGGCCCCAAGGGAACTAGGAGTCACAGTGCTCATCTTCATACCCTGCAGAAATTCCCTTAACGAAGGGGCAAAGTTAATTTTTAAAGTGATCCTGAGTGTAAGCCATTGTCACTATTCTGGGTGACCGGATGCAGTGCTGCTGCCTCTCTCCGCTGGGGTGGATGGTCAGAGAGTGTTCAGGGATGGCCATTTAAGTGATGAGCACAACCACCTACTCATGGACACCCATGGACAACAGACAGGGGACAGTTTTTACTTAGGTGTCTGGCAGGTATTTTCTAGCAAATGAACCATGTTGAGCCCCCGCCATCCAGAAAACAGCTGACAGTGTTCATTACCACGGGTAACGTTTGAGCTTTGAGCATATATCAGAAGGCTGAAAAACTCACATGGGCCACTCCAACAGTCCTTCCACCCAAGGACTCATGGGAGTTGGACGGTGGCATCAGTGAATGTGAGCTCTTGATACTCTAGATTGAGACACGTCAAAAGTTCGGCCTTCTGTATAACTCTGTGGAGCAATATTCTCCAAAGTACTCGCGCGTGATAGTACAAAGCCACACATTTGAAGCTCAACAGACTAGAAAATTTTCCTGGAAAAGACAACAGAAGCTCCCCATCATCACCAACCTTTAAGAAAATACTACTTGTTGAGTTTGGGTGTAATAGCAAAGAATATCCAGTTATTTGAAAGAGGTACTGAAATACTTCTGTCCTTTCCAACTATAAAGAGCGAGGGGCTAGATTTCCTTGATGCATTTAAACTGAAACAACATACTGCAATTGACTACGTGCTCGGTGGAGGTAGACACAAGACCTCAGATACTGTGCCCGAAGCAGACACTGAGGAGACTGGGAGAAATGTACAACGCTACACTTCTCACTGTTCTCCATTCTGGAGAATAGAACTGTTTTCATAAAATTACGCTATGGATGTCAACGTGTAAGACATCTATCTCTATTATTTTAAAACGAATTATAAGTATTTTTGTACTTTGCAGTATTAAATTCCACTCTAATAAACAGCAAGAGATATCACCTTTATGAGCAAACTTCTTTGGAATACATACTTTTCCGGAGTATAACTGGGTCCCGAGTGATGTCTGGGACCTCCTAGTCCAGGCTGATCCTGATTTGCCTTTGAGATCTTTGCAAATAGAGCTGCGAATGTTCTTGCAAAACTGAGTTTTGCTGGAAGCAGGCAGCTGGGAGGACGCTGCCGCCCTGAGTTTCACGCCTGCAGGCCAGTCTGACCTCAGGGGTAGCCCAGGCCCACTGTCTCATTTTTGGAGAGTGACCTGGAGCCATGAAAGGCACCGTGAGCTCTGGCATCGCCTCCAACTACCCCCAGACCATCGTCTCCCTGGAGCTGCATGCCTGAGGACACACAAAGGGACACTTGGTGCCAGGGCTTCTCCTGAGAGGGCAGCGTTAGAGCCAGAGGCAGAAGGACGGATCCCTGGGGAGGCTGCTTCTTGCTCTGCCCTTCAACAAGCCAACACCAAGAATAAGAATCAATTAATTTGAATCAATTTCCTGAAGTCAAATTGTGGAAGACAAGACCCAAACACAAATACTGATGTCACAGCCCAGGGGAAAAGCGCCCACGCTCCACTAGCCAGGATGTAGTGTAGCTGACCTGTGGCAGCAGCGGGGACCGAGGTGGGCAGTCGTACAGGTGCAGGCAAGGGGTGCATAGAGACCGTCCAGAAGTCTGCAGCTGCTGCTTGTCACCATGCGCAGGCAACTCCATATAATGTCAGCGATCTTCCTCCTCTCCCCCCAAAAACTGTTCTTCAAGTTTAAACAATTGCCGTGGCTACTGTCACATTTTAATCTTATGAATAAAAGATTCATGTTCATCTATCTTTATGCTTTATCCTTTAAGCCACGCCATGTGGCTGAGAGTACCAGCCAGCTACAGAGCTGGTCATGGCACACAGACTCAGCAGGCCGCATCCCCGCAGGAATGGTTCCACGGGCAGGAGCATTGGGGTGCTCCGCCAAGCTGGGCCCCCCAGTGCTGTGATGCTATAGCCTCCTGCGCTCAAGCACAGTGACAGGGCTAGGGAAGGCTCAGATGCACAGCGCCTCCTATTCTGCCCTTCCGCATGGACCCTTCAGGGTGGGGTTTAAGATCTTTTTGATCCACAGACATCTGAACTTGAGGCTGGATCCCAGAGAACAGAACACTTGTCATTTCTATGGCTTCTTTTTTTATGTGATTTTTTTCCTTTTTTTTTGGTATAGGGAATCGAACTCAGGACCTCGTGCTTGCTGGGCATTTCTGCAGCTTCTGGAGTGAAGGTATTTGGGAACCCCTGCCATGGTCCTCTGGAACATCCCAGTGTCAAACAGTGCTGTTAGCTCCACAGTACGGGAAACAGCCTGACAACCCTGCCTGCTGTGTGCTGAACATAAACGTAGGAAGACGATTAATTTCCTGAAGTCAAATTTGTGGAAGACAAGACTCAAATACAAATATTGATGTCATAGTCCATTATAACAGACCAAGTTATTTTTCCTATTTTAAAAATCCATTAATATTTAAAGAGTTAATGCATTGCTGTTTTCTTGTAGTAGATTTAAAAAATTTTTTTTTCTACTGGCATGATAATATGTATGGAATTCAATAAAAGAGAATGTTTGCTATTGGGATTATTTTAAAGCCTTTATTAGTTTCATTTTGTGATTAGTCCTGAGACTAATTTTGTTGTTTATACGGGGAGATGGTTTGAGAAAATGATATCCACTCTGCCCACATAGCTGACACCGAGCGCGGCAGCCGGCGGGTTAGCTCAGTGTCGGGGTGGTATGCGGTGGTGGGCAGCTTGCGGCAAACAGGAGGATGCAGGCTGTGCCCCCAGCACTCTGCACACTCAGCCCTGGCAGAATGCCACTTGGTATGAAAGCAGAACCAGTATTTCCAAGTGTTCCAAGCTCACAAAGGCCTGAAATCCAGTCTTCTATGAGAATTCTTCCTGCTTTTTTTTTTCTTTCTTTCTTTCTTTTTTTTTTTTTTTTGTTGTTGTTTTTGAGACCTGGTATTGACATGTAGCCCAGGCTGGCCTTGAACTCATGGCAATCCTCCTGCCTCAGCCTCCTGAGTGCTAGGATTCGGGCCTACTTCTTGTTTTTAAATGGTGGTAACTAATTCAAATTTTAAAAACATCATTTGACCAATAGGACACCTCTGTGAGCCCTACTGGCTGCTGCCAGCTCGCCAATGCCTGCTGTGACTGCGCCTACCTCATCCCCAGCCTCCCAAGCTCTCTCTCCCGCTAACGCTCTGCTTCCAGGCCTCCCGGGGCACATGCTTCCTAGTTCACGCTTTCCTCCACCTTCCCCGGGGCAGTGGCTACTCACACAGGTGTGAGACACGAGCACAACCAGCTGCGCGGCAGGGCGCAGGCAGCAGACTCGGCTATGGCCAGGACGCTGCTCTGCTCCATTGAAAAGCCACTGCACGTGGGCCTACTGGGCCTCTGCCAGGAGCGTCTGCAGGTGCCTTGCTCCCTCGTGCCGCTGTGGGGGGTCACTGGTCTCCAGGGGCCTCGTTCAGGCCACCACCCAGAACACCCTTCACGGAAACCCAAGAACATGCCCTTGCCACGATCCTTTAACTGCGCCTCCCTGGGCTCTGTGCTCCTTCCTTCTCGTCATTTCTAAGGCTTCTTAAAGGTCCCCATCCATATTTTTTCACTCCCAACTTCTCCTTAAACTGTGAGCGTGAAATGCAAGGATCCCTCCACAAGACTGCTCCTTTTCAAACCAGAAACAGGCCCTGTGGCCACTTTCTCCAAATCAGCCCAAATCGGCGCTTAGAGAAACCCACCTTACCTCCCTCCTAGCCCTGAGGGGAATGCAGGAGCCCGGCCGGATGCCCCCAGGCCCACGCCTCACCTTCCCTTTGATGCTGAGGCCCCCGGTGTCATAGACGATGCCCTTGCCCACCCACGCGATGGTCTGCGTGGCGCCGTCGGGGGTGTGGCTGAGGACGGCCAGAGCAGGGGGGTGCAGGGCAGCCTTGCCGACACCGTAGATCCCTGGGGGCAAGGAGAGTGTGGTGAGATGCAGGTCGGGCTGGCAGAGACCCCGCCGTCTCCTGGAGAGCTGTGCCCCGTCCTGAGCTCCCCGCCCCCTCCCGCTCCTCCCGCCCCCGGCCGGTGTGGGACTGGGAACGCAAGTCGGTTCCAGCGTCTGGGACTGCGAAGGACCCTGTGCACGATATTGCAAGGCAAGAGAACTCACTGAGGGAAAAAAGACTGTACCCTTTCCAGAAGGAAAAGCACAGGGTTGCAGAATGAGATGACTTTTGGACGATGCTTCGAGGTCGCCCGGGGCCACACACATCCCCCTCCCTGAGCCGGCCCCACGCTCGGCCAGCACCACCCTCTGCCGTCTGCTCCCACGGCCTCTGCTCCACCGCCTCGCTCTGCTTCACGGGCTTCATTTCCCAAAACACCACTGCCTGTGGAAGGGCAGAGGTTGGGCTTCCAGGTCCCTCAATCACTGAGCTGAGTAGCAACAGCAACCAGACAAGCTCTAATTAAATAGCTATCCCATGAACTCCTGTTCACCCTGCAGGACCCACTGTAAATGTCACCTCCTCTGAGAAACATCCCCATATAAGGAGCTTCTGTGTCTTCAGTAGGCACTGCTAAGATGGCCCCCAGGGTTCCCTCAGGGCTATTCATGTCTTTGCTGTCCTCTCTAGCTCAGAGTGGCCAGGTTTTAGTGTCTCATCGCTGACCACCAGCACAGCAGAAGCAGTGGGCCACCTCTTGTAAAGATGGGAGCTCCCACCCTGCCTCTTCCTCTGCCTCACTCTCCTAGAGATGCCAGGTGCCATGCTGGGAGCGCCCTAGACGGGTCCACAGTGCCAGGAGCCACGTCTCCATCCAGCAGCCTCCAGCGCTGAGACTGCCCGAAGCCTGAGGTCTGGCCTCCTGGCAGCACAGGGCTGGCTACGGGGGGAAAAAACTCTTGGACGGCCACAGAGCCAGCTACCCACAGCTGCAGAGGGGAGACACCCCGAGCCACAGAGGAGCCCCCCTACCCCACAGAGGTCGGGAAGGGAACGTGCGGCCTGCTGCTGCCAGTCATCCTGGGGTCATCTGCTTCACAGCGTAGATAACTGTGCCTGTGAGCACCTCCTAGGCAGCCTGGAAGTGCCTCCAGGTGGCCCAGCCACAGGTGTTTCTCTTTCCTTGTAGCTGTAGGCAGTGGAGGAGCACGATCCCATGCCATCGGGGAAGCTGACACTGGAGCCCAGACACACAAGGAGAGGCAGCTTGTGCCATATGAACGCCTTGGGAAAAGGATTCCGGATGGAGCGAGCCACCCGTGCAAAGCTCTGACATGGATGTGAACCTGTGTATTCGAGGAACAGAAAGGCCCTGCTGAGCTGGCCCGGAGGGGGTGTGCAGGCTGTGAGGAGGCTGCAGCAGGGGAAGGGCTTGGGTCTAGCTGCTTCCAGAATACGCCTCAGAACCTGGACAGCTGCCGCGCTCTCCTCCAGGGATAGTTAGCTTCCCAGGCTCTGGCCTCGGGCTGAGACAAGGGCTAATTTCTTTCAGGTCACAGGGAGGATGGAGTTTGGGACAATGTACCACATGACCAGCCAGACCCTTGCCACTGAAGTGCCCCTGGGTACTCCCTGAGGCCAAAACCCGTGGGGGGGGGCAGCATCCACCCACCTCCAAATCCTCTTGTCTTCAGCTCCTCATCCCGGATGATGGTTGGGGCAATTCCCAGCTCTTTTCCAACCTTGTTAATCTCCTGGACACGTTCATGGAAAAAACAACACGAAGACATGTGAAGATGGCTTGACCCAAGGCGAGGCCAGGACTCGGGGCCAGAGATGAACCATCGCCTATGCAGGGAGAGAGCAACCAGCCTCGGAAGCCAGCGGCCCTGACCCTTGCGATTAAACCCAGGAGAGAAGGCTCTCCCAGCAAGCTCCCCAGCTTCCTGCAGCTCGTGGCTGCAAGCCTACTGCGGGGCCTTAGCACGGGCCCTTCCTCCTAACACCCTCTGCTGAGGCTGCTGGCTGCTGGAGCTGGGTGGACAGCAGAACTGCATGGCTCGTGGGTGGGGTCAGAGAACAAGGACAGCCCCCAGGTCTCCTCGGCCTCTGTTTGGGGCTTGCGACCCCCGACCCCAGCCCAGCTTCTCCCTTCGAGGAAGGCTGATGCCACTCCAGCCCAGCGGCAGAGGCCTTAAAATAGGGCCACACACCTCAAGGAAGATGTCTGTGTTCATCTCATTGCAGGGCGTGTCCACAATGCGGGCTGCCAGCCGCACACCTTCCGTGGCATTTGCTAAGCACTGGGAAAAAGCAAAAGGTGATTACTGGGGTCCTGGGCCTGGCAGGAGGTGGATGTCCCCAGGAATCCAGTGGCATCGGAGGGACGTACCCCACATCTCCCTGGGAGGCTGCAGAGCTGAGGCATCCAGGAGGGAGAAGCGAGACCCACACTGGTGCCCCCTCCCCAGCAGCCACCCTAAGGAAGAAAGTTCCATGTGGCCCCACCCCGCAGCCCACCGCCCTGCCGTCATACAGGGTCCTTTCGAAGTCCCCATCCTGTTCCTCCCCTCCTCCGGCCTCTGCAGACTGCACCCTCCTCCACGGGTCAGGACCTCGGCACCTACGCTCAAGACCTTCTCCAATGCCGTCTTTCCAGGGGCTCCTGCATGCTCTCCCGGGGCCCTGGCCAGCTGCTTTCCCACATGTCTCACAGCTCCTACAGAACACCCAGGGCTGGCTGCCTTTGTTTTCTTTGTCACTGGGCAGCACACTCTGGGCCGGGGCGTGGAAAGGAAGAGCAGGCTCTGCCTCAGGGAGCGTATGTGTCTTCTCGGCACCCTCAGGGAGTGGGAAGCTAAGAAGGTGGACCACACGGCCTCGAGTGTGGAGTTGAAACCCCAGTGCTCAGGAAAGCTGCTTGGAAACACGAACGCGAGCACAGATGGCACTGAGCAGGCAGCGGTGGTCCTGCTCTTGCTTCGGCCAACCAGGAGGCCTTGGCCTGCCTGCTCTTCTCTGCCGGTACAGCCTTGTTCTCAGCCGATTCCCAGGACACCCCGCCTCACCTCAGTCTGCACCGCCCACCCCCGGGTCTCAGAAGCTCCGGGCAGCTGGCTGCGTCAGCGCCTCTGAGCCGGCCGGAAGGAGACACTATTAAGAGAAAAACAGCAAGGGCCCGCAGGTGCACGCGGTGACAATGAATTCGTCATCGCCTCCCAAAGGCCCACCGTGTCAGGGAGGGCAGGCACAGGGTCAGTTCGCCCGCCTGGCTGCCGCCCCCGCCCTGTCTGATTGCTGCAAAAGCCACTGTCTGTCCTAAGTAATTAAACCCCAATGCCTCAAAGGTAGAGACCTGGGACCTGACAGCTCAGACATGAGATGTGTGTGTGTGTGTGTGTGTGTGTGTGTGTTCCTGCCACCTGGCAGCTCTCCTCCTGTTGGAGAAGCGTGTCGGGGCCACAGGACTGGCTTTGAGGGAAGCAGGTGTGACCTGCTAACCCTAGCGAGCTCACAGCACTGGCACAAAGCAAGGAGTGGGGGCAAAGAGGGCCTCGGGTTCGTCATCCCGGGGGAGGTCATTCATTCATTCTGTCCACATTTATGTGAGGACCCAGGCACCACGCTAGAATCTGAGAATAAAGACATCTGAGGGACTCAAGGCTAGCAGAGAATGACCACCCATCCACCCACCATCAAAGCTGCAGAAGAGGAGCGCGGGGGCGGACGGACCTACAACACTGGGGGTGCAGGCAGGGACTGAGAAGGAAGCCCTGGCAGGGAAAAGGAGAAGGCCACACGGGTGTCAGACCTTGAACAAGCTTGACAGGCTGGGGGACAACAGGAACCATGAGGCTGCGTGGGGGTGGTGTGGGGAGACGGCAAAGGGACATGGTCAGGAGTGGATGAGGAGAGTGGACGGCGAGGGGACCCGAGGGTGGTGCTCAGGCTTCCAGGCTGGGTTCTGGTGCGCAGTGGGCCCAGAGCTCAGAAGGAACTCCCCCAGATGGGGTGGGGGTGCTCATCCGGTCCCACGGCAGGACGGGCCCAGAAGTGGCTGACGCCGGCCTCACTGGAGGAGACAGTAAGGTCAGAGAGGCTGTGAAGAGACCGCACAGGTTCCAGAAGCAGCCATGCTTCGAGGAAGGCTGATGCCACTCCAGCGCAGCGGCAGAGGCCTTAAAAGCAACACTGACAAGGAGGCCCAGGCTAGCTTTTGGTGGGAGGAAGTGACGAATCAAGATAAGCAAAGCAATCAGACAGTGTTTAGAAGTTGGATGATGAAGAAAAAAGGAGAATTCACTCAAGATGGCAGAGACAGAAACAAGTTCCTCCTTCCTAAGGAAGGAATCCGGCTGGGCAATGATTTTGTACCAGTGCTTTGAGCTCACTGGGGTGGGCAGAGAAGACAGCAGACCAGCAGGGTGGTCACCAAGTCCTCAGGTGGGGGACTCGCCTGGGGCTCAGGTTGAAGGCAAGCCCTGAAGCAAGAAGAGCGACCACCTGGTCTGGCTGCTAGAGCAGGTGGAGGTGGTGGGCAAGGCCACAGGAGGGGGCTTGGGGACAGCTGTGTGGGAAGGCAGCCCAGCATCAGGCCCATACCCCGACCCAGAGGTTAGAGGCCACTTCCAGGCTTGCTGCCTGCAAAGCATTATTCTTAGGATCAAGTGAACTAACATATGTAAAAGCGCTCCCCTTAAGGAGTCAATACACACAGGCAAAGGATTATTGGTATTAAAACACGAAGGTGCCTGGCTAGACACTCCGGCAACACTGGCATAACAGAATAGAGCCCTGGAAACAAGGACTGCCCCACGGGAGAGGGGCTGCTGCCCTCTCGGGGCTCCCTGGAACTACGGCCACCCTCCCATTCCCCACTACGGAAGGGAAGAGCTCTTGGGGAACCTGGGACACCGTCTGCACCTCCAGACACCCACTTGCAATGTGGACACCTCCACTGGCCCGTTGTCCTGTCCCACCAGGAAAAACTCCACTGTGACAGTCCTCTTCTCCGAGCGACGGGAAGCCCCTGAGCGGTGGGTGAAGAGCGGGAAGGCCCGGGCCAGGGCGCAGGCGGATGCGAAGATGTCCGACTGCTCGCAGACCATCTGCAGCACAAGGAGGGGAGCAGGGCAGGGGCTGAGGGCCACAGGGTGTGCCCAGGAGCTGCCCGGCAGTGGCTCCACCTGACCTCGACTCCCGGGGAATACAACCCGCAGGAGGGGCCCCCATAGAAGCCACGATCCCATCCCCCCTGCCTTCCCTGGGATGGGTGCTTGAAGCATGTCCTGCTACGAGAGAAACAAGTTGGCCACCAGATGTTGTCAGGTCTCAGTGGACAGGAGCACAAGGCCTGGAGGCTCAGACATGAGCCTTGGCCTCAGGAAATCTAGGCCACAGTCTCCGGCTGGCCACCAAGCGTGATCTGGGGTAGACGACTTGTGTCTGGACCTGCTGCCCCGTCTACGGGACCGGGATTATGATGTGTGAGGCCCTCTGTGTCACTGGCTCAGTTGTGGGTGGAAGGCCGAGCTCCCTGGACCCACTCCCAGGCCCGCTCTCCAGACACACTCACCAGGATGCAGCGCTGGGATCCGGGGGGCAAGCAGGTCCGCACCAGCCGGGTGATGAAGTGGGCAGCCGAGGGGCTGTTGTGCCGGCTCACCCTGGAGGGCAAGGCCGCCACGGTGGCGTAGTTCAGGTAGAGGGGACAGCTGTCCGTGGGGTTGGGATTGAGCGTGGCCAGAGCAGCCTGCCAGAGCTAGATCAGAAGGGAGACAAGAGACAGTGGACTTCACACGGGGCCGCGTGCCAGGAGCCCGCCCTGCGGGCCACGCCTGCAATTCCCGGGCACCCCATCGGGCCACTGGGCGCTTGTGTCTCTGCCTGGCACCCTGCCACACTCGTGGAATTAGGCCTAGCGGCCAGAGGGCCGGGCTGGGACCCCTTTGCTTCGAACACTTGGCCCCCCCGCGCCGCCTGGGGCTTGGCCTGTTTCCACTGGCGCGGGGTCAGGGGCCGGGCGCCACGCGGAAGGGCAGGTGGCGGCTGCCACCCGGCCGCGGGCGCA